TAAATTAAAACTTTTTGTTGTAGCACTGGGTAAAGTGCCATATTAAAACATTAATTTTTTTAAAAGCTAGTTTATGAATCTGTTTTCTACTGAACATACTCCTTCCACAACTTCTCGCACATGAGATGTTCAGAAGCAAATCCTCAGAATTCCGTCTTCCATCACCATTGTCTGTCACAACCAAATTAGGTTCTGTCACAACCGAATTAGGTCTCACCACTGGAACTGTGTAGCCGTTTCTAATGTAAGGGAGGGTTAACATATAGAAATAAGGTTCTGGCTGCTTTGGCAGTCAGGATGCCTCAATGTGTATGTAATATTTATTAAATTAATTGCTTTGCTGACTATTTTGCATTTATAATGCATTAAGTGTAGGCTTGAGTTGTCATACTCAGCATCTTACAGGACCAAGCCTTTGTAGTGCGGATTTCTTGAGGCAGAGATTATATCTTTGGTTTTTTTAAAGTACGTAGCCCTACATGTGTGGGTTTTATACATAGCTGTGCTGAGTAATGGCATGGGAACGTTGCTGGACATCGTGGGGGTTTGTTACTGGTCTTCTGAAACTGGTGTTTCCCTTAAGTGCCAACTGGTGTCAGGCGATTGTGTGAGGATCTCGGATTCCATTTCATTTTAAAATGGGGTTTTGATGTTTCAACTTGGAGGATATCAACCCTGCAGGTTAAAAAAGGCAAAAAAAAAAATGGACTTGGCATTTATTATTTATAAAATGTTTTGACTTCTGACCTTCTTGTGAGTCAGCTGAGAATCATTGGCTAAACAGAACCTGAGGGGTGTGCGAAGGAGCAGCCATGGAAACAGCACAGGTTGCTTAAAAAGGCGAAAAGCCCGTAACCCCCGTATTTAAGGGCGCTTGGCCTGAAATGTTGGCTTTTAAAAAGACAAATTTGTTGCCTGTGAGCCCTCTCCCTTGCTGGCGCTGCCGAGACCAGCCGGGGGATGCTCTCTGACAAGAGGGCCGAAGCAGGGGCCATGGCGCCGTGCGCCCCGGAGCCCAACTTCCGTGCTGCCGGGGCTGTGCCGGGTGAGCGCCCATCGCTGCGATCGATCTCCGCGCCAGCGGCCATGGCCATTGTTAGCCCGAGCGAGCTGAGCGCTGGGCCGACCATCTTGTACCTGCAGCACAGGGCAGGGACAGCCCCGAGGTGTCCTGTGGCTGGGGGTTTGCCTGCCTTTGACACCCCGGGTGTTTTAAACCTCATTAGGGCTGTTTATCTGGTTTCGTCAGGGTGTAATTAATTAAACTAGGTAAGTTCCCCGTTTCGGGGCACAGCCGAGGACCGGTGGAAGCCGGAGTGGGGAGGCTGAGGGGTGGCAGTCGCCCGCGGAGCTGCTGTCACGGAGTGTTTTTGGCCACCGGGTGGTTAATCATTAAACCGGCGAACAGATGTCGCGGTCGGAGAGGGGGATGAAACGGGAGGGACGCTGCCGGGGGCAC